AGTACAAGGTCTGAAAGATAGATAAACTATTATTATTATTATTATAAGTTACAATGATGTGAAACTATATAAATTACAATGATGTGAAACTATATAAATTATATTTATGCAAAAAATTAACAATGAAAAATTACATCATTGAAAATAGATATTTATATAGTTTCATTTTTTATTAATATAATTTTACTATCTTAGTTTCTCATTTGTAATTTATATAGTTTAATTTTTTATTAATATAATTTTCCTAAAGATATTTATTATTTTTATTATGAGTATGAAAAATATAAATAATAATAATAATAATATAATAATAATAATAATAAAACTTTTATTCAAATAATAATTTTTTACATATTTATATGAAAAAGTAAAGTTAGTTGGGCCTTATAATAAAAAGTTAACTAAAAAGTAAGCCTTAAAGTGAGAATAACCTAAAATGTAAGCCTTCATTTTTTTTTTTCACGAAACGATAGAGAATATTATATAACAAAAGCGCACAAATGTGCAAAATACATAGCCCCTAGCTGAATAATACAACCCACAGCTGAGAAATTGGGAGGACGGGTCATAAGACCGCCTAGAACCCGACTAGCAACGCTAGAAAATAAATTCAAAAACAACACAACACAAAGACCTAAATGTGGAACGACCCCCAACGAGGTAGTGTGAAACGACCCCCAACGAGGTAATGTGGAAGGACTCCAACGGAGTAATCCCTCTCACAGGGGCCAAGTGACCCAAACCTAAAAAACAAGACTAGAGCAACACCAACACAGACTCAAAATAGACTAAAACGAAAAACTATTAAACGAAAATATGGCCCTTTCCCAGCCCAACATAACGAGCACCAGCCAGTAGCGAACAATCAACCCAAGAAAAATCCAAGGCACAGGAACCACAACTGAAACTGCGTTCACGCCTATACAGAAGTCGAACCCAAGCCCCGAACTATCCAAAATCGACCCACCCCCACTGAGAGAACGATGAGCCAGCTCCCCACTCCATCATCACCCAAACTTGTCTAACACCACTAGTCGACCATCGGAGCCCTATCCGCAAGAACCCCATCATAAAAGGCATGCCCGACCCCGATCTCGAACCGGACTGAGAGAAGATTGGGCGTCAGGACGCCTCAATTGAGGACTTATTGGCAACCAAGGCCCTCTCCAGATTTCGACCAAGGGAGCAACACCGTAAATCAACGCGCCGGCAACCAAGGGCTCGGACAGGGATCCCCTCTGAAACGAAAAAAGACCCATTAATCCCGGACTTAAAAAAATTGAAAGCAGAATACCGCGATTGAGTACAGACCGGCGACCAATAGGCCCATCAGTCATCGACTGAGAAGACCGCCAGTCGTCGATCGAGGGCAGAACACCGATGTAACACCCCACTTTGATTTTTAAGAAAATTCGTACTTTCTAAAAATCAGAACAAATTTTTCGAACTCATTTTCGAAATCAAGGGCATTAACCAACACAATTTACTTAGTCCAAGTCTTATCTGGACTCACGGGGATTCATAAACCCGATTTTTCACAAGGTTTTCGTTAACTTGATTCACACCTCAACATAATATCCCATATGAACAACTAAACTTCATAAATCAAACACCATGATTATTCAAGGTTCATAAAAGATTTTCCAAAATATTTTCAAACATCAAAACATAGTTCGAAAACAGTTTCCACATGTCCAAAACATAGAAAGGTTCATAACGACCATATTATTAAAGAGGAAGCAAAACGAAACAAATAATAGACCACCACTCGTCCTTTGTCCCGTCACCCGGCCGCTGCTTAACCTGCATCCGTGAAGAGCAGGTGGCAATGAGCACAAATGATAAAGTAGTGCTCACTACTATGCACATAATAACATGTAAAGATGGTATGGTGGCAGCATGAATATAAATCAATCATCATCATGTCTCATATCCTAACAATCACATCAATAACTCACTCATGTGCACATCTATCAGTAGCCGCGGAAAGGGGATGCATAAACCCTAACGACGGGAGTGCGTGCCACTGTAACGGATACGGCCTTTCATTAGGTCTTAAGGAGACTTGCCTAGGAAGGGTAACCGTACCGTAATTCGACGGGGATAACTGTACTGACGGCCGTAACAACTCATATCGGTAGGCCACATGGTTCACATTCGTACATTGGTCATACCAACTAAACATTAAACAACACGTATGGCATAGATAATTTTATAAGTAAACCCACCTGGATAGCTCGGTAGAAAAATAGCACACAATCACAAGTACGTAGGATGAGGGCTCGACTCCTCAAACACCTACATTTGAGCGAGATAATATATCAATAATCTATCTCACTACTCAAATTTTACATAAAACCCATACTTATTAAAAATTAAGTCTTAAGGGTTTTAATCAGATTTTTCGTGGACTTGCAACTCTCTCATTTTTGAAAAATTATGACTCGGAGAACTAAAATTGGACTCCCGGGACTTAAATAATTTTTCCCAAAATTTTATTATATTGAAAATATTTTTAGAATTTAAAACTGTACGAAAAACGGGCTCCGA